AAAAGACACGGGAAGGAGAAGGACAAAAAAGAGAAGTGAGTGAGAGAGAGAGAGAGAGAGAGAGAGAGAGAGAGAGAGAGAGAGAGAGGCAGACAGACGTACAGAAAGATGGCAAGACAGAGAGCAAGGCAGATTAGAGATAGAAACACGCAAGACAGGTACAGAGAGACAGACAAACAGACAGACGTACAGAGAGATGGATAGATAGAGAGAGAGAGCGAGAGAGAGAGGGGGACAGAGACAGACAGACAGACAGACTGATTGACGGAAAGACCAAACAAATATCGAGCAAGGAGGTCGGGAAGAGCGTCGAGAAAAAAATATGAAAGGAAAAGCACAACGACACAAGTGACAAACAAACACACAGCCTTTAGAATAATTTTCTGTTTTCGGTGGCAATGAGACTGACGTCTCTTCATTGCCCAGCAGGCGGTTAGCGCGATTGATACCCATCGTAAGGACACACAAAACACGTCACACACACCTAGCGCCGCAAGCGGCGGTTAGGGCGGTTGACGCTAAGCAAAGAAACACAGGCACAAACACACACTGTCCAAAGTAGCAGTAGCCATGGTAAACACGTGCAGCGTACTTTTGCATGCTCACCTCCAGACGATGCACATGACGAGAGAGTAATTAAAACTGCTACGGTATCTGTCTTTATGCCAGAGAGTAGCGTAGACTCCCCGATGACGCTAGATCACAGGGTCCCAGGTTGTGACCTTCAGAAGCATATTGTGTTTCCACCGCGCTGAGACTGACCTCATTTTATTGGTCAGTCGGCTAGCAACAAATGATGCTTGATTGTATGCCAGGATTTAGTACGGGCACACATAATCCTACACACACCCGCACACACCTGACGCAGCAGACTGCGAGGAGGGCTCGGCTCTCCGGAAAGGGCTGCGGCCAGAACTGCGCCGTGACTGCGAAGACGCACGCCAGGGCCATCACGGCCAGCTTGGCGTTGTTAAGGGTGTGGTCCTCCTCGTACCCCATCTCCAGCACCTGTTCGTCGGTAGAGCAGGCGCCACCACATAAAAACCTCTGGTTTGTGTTCGAGGTCCGTTTCTTACCGTCACTGCTGTGGGCTAGCAACCCAACCTGGTAACGGCTATTCATGTACCTGGTAAGCTATGCTGCGTCCCCAAAACCTGAAAAATACAAACTACCGAAAACAAAAACAAACCACAACAAACGTACTATAACTTCAGAAATACAATATACAAACCTGAAAAATAAAAAACAACCAAAACATAAAACACAACCAACTAAATTATTAGTGCGTGGTTCTTGTAACCGGGCAGCAGTTCCGATATGCCACGGTACAGCAGGCGCCACCACCCAAGAACCTCTGGTTGTGTCAGTTTTCATGAGTGCACCGCGGTGCGCAGCGAGAGATTTCCGAAAATGTATCGTTTCGTTTATGCATCTTCTTTGTCGTGGATTGATCGAGCTTTGAAAATCTGTCCAGGGGGTGTGTTTTCTTGTGTCGTATACGGTACCGGCGTTCTTGTTGGGCGCCCACTACCCACAATTCGAACGTGCTCTACAGTTGGCAAATTCGCACTCACGGCCTTGATGACGGCATCATCCATGATCTGCTTCATCTTGACCGTGTCCCCAGTCTCCACCGACTGCGGCACGATGAGCTCATCCTCGTCTGCACCCAGCGAGCAGCAGCCGAAAACAACGGGAAAACACGAAGAATCAGGAGGGGGGGGGGAGAAGCAGCAGCCGATGACAATCGGAAAATACAGAGTCAGGGAGGGGGGGAGCAAGAGCAGCAGCCAAGGGAAAAGATAGGAAGCCCGCAGATGGCGAGGTAACTTTCTCTCTCTCTTCTTTCTGCCTGACACGCACAGTTAACAATTACCACAAACCCTTACACATCGCACAATTAGTGCCCTTCGCTCTTAATTATAGTGATTTGTAAGCTCAAGTTTTGGGGACGCCATATATATAGTAGGCGGTCGGTGCGTTTTGTTTGTTTCTCAGGGATTTATTAATTCTTCCATGTGAGAAGCATCTCGAGTCTTGCCGGGAAAAGGGCTAATGGAACATGGCGCACAACCCAGTTCCTCATCGGACACCGGCACCTTTGCCCTAAAGTTCCACACAACGAAAAAAACCGACTTGACCAAGGTAAATTGTTGTTTGCGACAGCTCGTGTGCACCGTAGTACCGCATTGCTTTCGTTCGGTGGTGTGCGAAACACAGGGTGCTTGTGATATTTTTCGTCCTATTCTGGGCGCCGGTCTGCACTGTTCGGACGGTACTGATTCCTACAGTCTTTCTCAAGCACCTCAAGAATTTTCTTTGGGCTGTAGCACCATATATGTACTGATTTTTTGTCTTTGGGATGTCGGTTTGAGTAGTGTGTATATATATATATGTTTGTATTCCCTCTGTTTGTGTTTAGCATGTTCTTGCATCACCCCCTGCCGCGGTGCTCTCTTTACCCACTCCGGAGGGAGTTCTTGCAATCTCTTGGAGTATGTACCGTAAGGTTGCGAGCGCACAGGGGTACGATCGATTTTCAAAGCGTAATTTTTCCGCAACCAGGAGGGTGCGAGCGCCAACGGATACTTCTCAGGAAAGCTCTCGATGAGATGTTTCCAAAACCGCCCTATTCGACAACCGAAACCTCCTGGTTGTGGAGAAATTACACTTTGAAAATCGCTCGCACCCCTGTG